TGGCATAGCCTGTGGAAGTACAGGCTTGCACGGTGGCACAGCTTGTAGTGTAGGAGAGGCATGCAGCAAGAAAGAATGCGTGCCTGCCAGGCAAGAAATATGTGAGGCATAGGCTGGCCCAATGGGCTGACCTGTCATAGCCTGTGGAGGCATAGGCTTGCAAGGCACAGCTCGTAGTGAGAGAAAGCCTGCAGCAATAAAGAACACGGGTGGCCGTACAGTGCAGCAGTTCTTGGGTTGCTGTCCAAGGTTTTGGGTTAACCCCAAACCCTGCAGGCACTTCATCCCCCACCACCACCGCTACATAAGTCCCCAACTCCAGCCCACACCCCCCATCCAAAAGATCAGAGTGAGGCAGGCTGTGCTGCTTGCTTGTCAGGCAAAACAATGTGAGGTATCGGCTGGCCTTGTGGGTTGGCCTGTCATAGCCTGCGGAGATACAGGCTTGCCAGGTGGCACAGCTTGTAATGTAGGAGAAGCAAACAGCAAGAGAAGGGTTGGCCGCACAGTGAAGCAATTATTGGGTTGCTGCCCAAGGTTTTTGGTTAACCCCAAAGAATGCAGGTACTTCATTTCCCAGCCCACCTCCCCCACCCCTGAAGAACCCCCTCCGCCATCCCCAAGGTCAGACTGAGGCTGGCGGTGATGCATGTGTACCGGAGTGACTGTAAGATTTGGCAATTATTGTGTTCGCGGGCTGCTACCCAAAGCTTTTTGGGGATTTACCCCGGCCACCTGGCCCTGAGGACTCGTGTTTGTTGTAAATTCTGTTCGGGCTTAGCACGACCCATGGTGACGACAGGCTATAGGCTGGGGCAGTGATGGCTGGCCTAGTAAACAGCAGTGTCGTCCTAGTGCAATTGATGTCCGCAAGAGGAGATGGTACCACGACGGCTGCTGACTGTATCCTTCGCGCGAAGATTCAGGCTGAGATCCAGCTCCGCTACCACTCAGAATCCACATGATGACCCGCCCCCCCAGCCCAACCCAAGTACAAGATTGGCAGTGCAGTGCTGCTCGAACTCAGAAAAATGTTACGCAGCTCTTGCAAGCCTTGGGCTGCTACCCTGTGCGCAATGAAAGTAAGGCTGCTGTGAGAGTGGAGACGAGAACAGAGCGTGTAAGGAAGGGGAGTGGGGTTACTAGGCCATGTGGCCGGTAGCCCACACTGAGAGTGCCAGGACAATCTCCTGCCGCCGTGCCAAAACTGCAGTCGCCCAGGACAGAGGGTAGGGGCCACTGTCAGCACAAGTATACCATGGAGAAAGGATGGCAACGGGTGGTGCCAGGTGTGCCAGCAGCCTTACTGTATCCTCTGTCGCTCGCCCCTGGGCCTGCCGAGTGCAGGGAGGGAGGGAAGGTCAGTTGCCCATGTTCTGCGGCAACCGAAGCACAAGTGGAATATGTGGTCGAAGTCGTAGTGCTGCATCGTAAGCTACCGCTGTTGTGCAGTGTCGTATGCTGTAGATCGTTCCTTCGTTGCTGCCTGTTGTCGTGGCGGTTGGCCTGCTGCATGGGTCTCGGAGATGCCTTGCATAGTCGTGGCATTGCCTTGTACGGTGGTGTTTCCTTAGGGGTGTGTCTTGGTGGCTGCTGCGCGTGCGGAGGCCGTCGAGGTATTGCTAGTATCGGGTCTGGTGCGAGCGAATTGTGTCGACGTACTCGTGGGAACGTGGGTCCCCAGTGTTGTGTACGAAGCTGCTGTTCCTCCTCCTCCTCCTCCTCCTCCTCCCCATCCTCTTCTTCTTATTATTAGTATCAATCTTATCATTGTTAATATTAGTATGATTCGTCCTATTATGATTCTTATTGGCAATCTGATTCGCAAGATTAGTCTTGCCTTCTTGTTGGTAGTAGTATTATTGATACTGTTGTATCACTAATATGATTATTATTATTATTAATATTAGTAATATTCCTTCTCCTCCTCCTCCTCATCCATCCAGTCTTCTTTATTATCACTCCACTTCCTCATCCTCCTCCTCCTCCTCCTCCTCCTCCTCCTCCTCCTCCTCCATCTAGTCGTGATTTTCATCATTCCACTTCCTCTTCCTCCTCTTCCTCCTCCTCCTCCTCCTCCACCTCCTCCTCCTCCTGATGCTGCAGGTCCTCCCTCCTTCTCCTCTCCCTTCCTGCCTCTGTCTCATTACACGTCCACATTCATCCCTGCAAGAGGAGGATGTGGAAGGAGGAAAAGGGGGACGACGAGGAGGAGAAGCACGAGAATGACCTAGAGAAGAGGACGGGGAGGATAGAGCTAGCGCAATGATCGCAGCCGAAAACGATGGCTTCACGCGTGAAAGGATCGGCAAATTCTCCAACAGGGTGAGATCAGAAGCGCGAAACAGCAAATTCAGCTGCGCGAAGGCAAAGATATAGAGGGGGGCTGTTGGTGAAGCCTGGTGAAGCACCCACCACTTTCACTCTGACCTCCGATACCTTCTGCATCCAGAGAGGCCCCCCAATCACTATGCATGCTGGGACCCTTCGTGAGGACATCCCGGGGAGGGGAGAGGGGGGGCCCAGAGGGCGAGCGCGGACACGAACGTCGCAGATGGCACGCCCTGCGGCCCCCGCTCCCCAGTCCTGCACGTCAACTTCCCGGTGGGCGACCCGCGGCCGCCATCCCCATGCGCACCTGGAGTCGGCTTTGGCTCCCAGTAGCTGTCCATCCAAAGACGACCGCTGAACATGCTCAGGTTCGGGCGTTGCTCATGTGTTGGGAGGGCGGGTGGGAGTGAGCCAGACGGCTTGCGGGCGGGTGGCCACCAGCCCTGCCTGCGTCTGCCTTTGTGCCGTCGGGCTGAGCCAAAATCCTGACGGCCGCGTGCTCCGTGCGAACGATCTGCGCCAGCGCCCCGGCAACCTGGCCCACGCCTCGAGAGACGGACCTCCTAATTAGATCGTCCTCTGCATCGCCTGCCTCGTCCGCTCGCCCGGTGCGTGCCGTTCCCCCTCGCCGCGCTGGCCCGCCGCGAGCCAGGCCGCCGCCGCCGACGCCACCTCCAGCAGCGCACGGAACGGGTCGGTGCAAGGCGGATTTGGACCGCCGCGCCGCCCCCCGCCCCTTCCTTGGCAGCTCTCCCCCCCCAGGCTCTCGCCTCTCGACTGCCGCCTCCCCTCTGTCGCCTCCGCCGCCGCCCCCCCCGTCGCTCTGCGCAGAAGGCACCCGCGCACCACGGCCACCACGCCTGGCCTGGGCCATCCTGGGCCCTGGCATGGCGCACGCTCGCCCTCCCAGCCTTCTTGGTCGGGAGGCCTCGGCACCGTCCCCGGGGTGCAGGATGGCCAAGGCCAGGCGTGCGGCGGGGTATCAGTCTTAGGTAGGGCATGTCCTCGTACAGGCGGATTGTGGACGAAAATTTAAAAATATCCCAACGATAACCCAAAAAAAACTCAATTATCCTGGCGAAGGGCCCAACCATACGCAATTCCGAATGCCGCCGTTGTAAGTATCGTCGTTGGTGGAACACCCGATGGGGCCACGAAGCGTGTGAGAGGTGCGCCAAATGGAGGTGGAACTGCATGCGGACCCTGCCACTGGGGCCTTCGGTGGAGCACCCTGTGGGGCCGCGAAACGTGTGAGGGGTGCGCCGAAATGGAGGTGGAACTGCATGCGGACCCTGCCATTGGCGCCCTCGGTGGAGCTCCCTATGGGGCCGCGAAACGTGTGAGGGGTGCGCCGAAATGGAGGTGGAACTGCATGCGGACCCTGCCACTTGGGCCTTAGGCGGAGCTCTCTATGGGGCCACGAAACGTGTGAGGGGTGTGCCGAAATGGAGGTGGAACTGCATGCGGACCGTGCCACTTGGGCCTTAGGCGGGGCTCCCTATGACGCCACGAAACGTGTGAGGGGTGCGCCGAAATGGAAGTGGAACTGCATGCGGACCCTGCCACTTAGGCCTTAGGCGGAGCTCCCTATGGGGCCACGAAACGTGTGAGGGGTGCGCCGAAATGGAGGTGGAACTGCATGCGGACCCTGCCACTGGGGCCTCAGGTGGAGCTCCCTATGGGGCCACGAAGCGTGTGAGGGGTGCGCCGAAATGGAGGTGGAACCGCATGCGGACCCTGACACTTGGGCCTTCGGTGGAGCTCCCTATGGGGCCACGAAACGTGTGAGGGGTGCGCCGAAATGGAGGTGGAACCGCATGCGGACCCTGACACTGGGGCCTTCGGTGGAGCTCCCTATGGGGCCACGAAACGTGTGAGGGGTGCGCCGAAATGGAGGTGGAACCGCATGCGGACCCTGACACTTGGGCCTTCGGTGGAGCTCCCTATGGGGCCACGAAACGTGTGAGGGGTGCGCCGAAATGGAGGTGGAACCGCATGCGGACCCTGACACTTGGGCCTTCGGTGGAGCTCCCTATGGGGCCACGAAACGTGTGAGGGGTGCGCCGAAATGGAGGTGGAACCGCATGCGGACCCTGACACTTGGGCCTTCGGTGGAGCTCCCTATGGGGCCACGAAACGTGTGAGGGGTGCGCCGAAATGGAGGTGGAACCGCATGCGGACCTTGCCACTGGGGCCTTCGGTGGAGCTCACTATGGGTCCACGAAACGTGTGGCCATGATGGAGACGGCGATGATGATGACGACGATGGTGATAAGAACGATGATGATGATGATGCTGATGATGACGGTGACGATGACGATGATGATGATGCTGATGATGAGAGGAGGAGGAGGAGGAGGGAGGAGGAGGAGAGGAGGAGAGACGCGGGGCACCGTCTCTTCAAAACGAGGACCCAACACCACAGGATGGTTGGGAAAAAGTACTCCAAAAACCATCCCCTGGCTATTGGGGACTATTTCGGCATATTCCTCCTATGGAGGGACACGCCCGACTGAACAGCAGTCCTTTCCGCGGGCCGCTCCCCCGGGCGCGCCTCCGTGAGAGACGTGCTTCAGGGTGGCCCCTCCCGGCGCAGACCGCGGCGGCCGCCAGCGAGAGCGCACGGGGGGGGGGGGCGAGGGGGGGAGCAGGGAGGGAGCGCCCCGGCCTCAGCTCTCCGCCCCTGCCCCGGGTGCGCCGAAGCGCTGCTTCCAGCTCCGCAGCCCGCACAGCGGCACCATCAGCGCGGTGCCCAGGGCCGCGGCGGCCCCCAGCACGCCGAAGTAGGCGCCCCAGCCCAGCCGCTGCACCACGAAGGAGAGCGGCAGGCCCGCCAGCGCTGCTCCGAAGTAGCCCACCCAGCCGATGAACCCCGTCGCCGTGGACAGCCACCTCTGCGGCGCCCGCTCCGCAGCCACCAGGGGCAGCAGCAGCTGGGCCCCACAGATGAAGTGCCCCAGGGCCAGCAGCAGCAGGTACTGGAGCGTCGGCAGGGTGGGCGGGCACCTTGCCAGCAGCGGCAGGAGGAGAAGCATCGCCAGAAAGTAGATGTTCACCACCTCGGCCCCGCACGGCCCCAGCACTCCAAGGAACGGGGGGGCCCAGCAAACAATCAAACAGACCCTCTGGCCAGATCAGAAAACAGCAAAAATGCACAGGCTTGGCAGGTCAGCGTCTGTCTCATTGTTCCTTGGACCGCTGGTTCTCGGGGTGGCGGAACCACACTGGACCTTGGCTCGCTGGCCAGGGAGTCCCTGCCCAGGCTTGGCGCGTCGCAGGAACACGTCGGACAGAGCGCCCGCTGTCAGATTACCGAGGAAGCCGCCCAGTTCGAAGCCAGAGAACAGCGCCGCAGCCTTGGCGGCTGACGATACCCCGCCCTCCATCAGGAAGAACATGCCCCAGACTGCCAATCCTTGCCGAACCACGTAATTAACCAGATATGCCGCCCCAAGGGCCCACTGCGCCGGATCCATGAAAATGCCCTGCGCCAAGCCGATCGCCTCTGTAGGCTTGGCCTCCGCCGCCTCCGCAGAGGACTCCGGAGCACCCCTGGCAACCTGGGATGGTGAAGCCACGGGCTGCGCTGGCGAATCCTTCATGACCAGCAGGCACAGGAGGGCGGTGCATGTGGCGACGCAGCCAGGACCGAGCATCCCATAACGCCATCCGAACGTCTCGGCCAGCCCTCCAGCGAGGAATGGTATGATGAAACCACCTAGGTTGATGGAGGCATGCCAGACAGACCACCACGTACCGCGCTCTTCTTTGGCAAACCAGTTGGTAATCAT